AAGTGAAGAAACACAGGTTTCCTGCCCCCCCCCTGACTATTTCACAAGGATATAGGATTAGAGAATGAGAGAATCATAAACACATGCCTGTACAGACACACCATTGGGGTAGGAGGAGAAAGGTGAGTGTTAAGGAAGGAGAAAGGTAGTGCAGTGCTTGGCTGCTAACCAAAATATCGGTGCTTTGATTCTACCAGCTATTCTGTGAAGGAAAGATGTAGTATTCCGTTTCCAAAAACTGTATAGCCTTATAAAACCTATGGGTAAGTTCTACTCTGTCTTATAGGGTTGCTATGTATTGGGATAGATTGGTTGGCAGTTGGGTTTGCTTTGGTTAGTGTTGAAGCAGGAAATTCAAAGAACGAAAAGAGATATAAAATTGTCCATTATAGTAGTAGTCAATGGATAGACCAACAGCATTATGGTTCTCCATATATTTTAGCAGCAGCCTTGAATCTGGAACACACTTGAATTCTTGTGAGGTTGCTTCTGTATCCAAAGGATACCCGAGCTATTAGGTGGGCCTGTCACTCCCCTAAGAGTTTGTGTTCTTTTCCTGATAAAACAAAAAAAATCCAAATTCACAGACATCCGATTGATTCTGACTCCTAGGCCAAGGAAGAACTGCCCCTTTGTCACTTCTAAGACTGTAACTCTTTACACGAGTAGAAAGCTTCATCTTTCTCCCTTGGAGTGGCTGGTAGTTTTGAACTGCTGAACTTGTGGCTAGCAGTCCAACATATAAGCACTAAGCCACCATGATAGGACAAGAATTACTGATTGACAAGGATAACTGCTTCTCTCACCACTGAATTTCTTAGGGTTCCTAAAATTTGACGTAAAGAAATAGTGTAAAATCTATGTAGGTGTTCCTGGAGGCATGAGATTGCCAGTCAATGTGTCAGTTTGCAAAATTTTGGAAGCAAAGCTAAAAAGTTAAACATAGTGAAAAGACAAAGTCAGGTAGACCAGATTACTATTGACTTAGCCATCTGCAAGCATCTATTTTGGAAAAATACAGTCAGAATGTTCCTTAGAAATAAAGAAGATGAGTTTAGACTTTCTTAATATATTTTGGACATATTATCAAGAAGGAACCTGTCTCTGGAGAAGGCCATCATGCTTAGCAAAGTAAAGGGTCAGCAAAATGAGGAAGGCCTTCAATGAGATGTCCTGGTATAGTAGTTGGAACAATTCACTCAAATATGTCTAGTATTGTGAGGCTAGCACAGGACTGAGCAACTTTGTGTTATCTTATACAAAGACTTGTTATGAGTGGCAACCAACTCAATAGCATCTACCCACAGCAGACCAGCTACATTATCTTTGGGATAAACCTAAATGTCATATATATTTGTGTATAAGCCGAGTGGTTCCAAAAAAACAAACAAATCTTTCTTGGAGAAAGTACAGCCGGAATGCTCCTTAGAAGCAAGCATGATAAGACTTTGTCTAACGTACCTTGGACATGTTGTCGGGAGAGACCAATCACTGACAAAAGACCCCATGCTTGGTAAAGCAAAGCGGCAGCAAAAAAGAGGAAGGCCCTTGGCGTGATGGATTTACTCAGTAGCAGCAACAATGAGCTCAAACATAAGAACAATTGTGAGGATGGCACCCACTGAGCAGTGTTTTCTTCTGTTGTACATAAGGTTGCTGTAAGTCAGAGCCAAGTCAATGGTACCTAACAGCAATCTTTGGGCCATATACATGTGTTTGCATAAGGTTATGGTATGTATAGGGTTAACCCATAGTTATCAAATTCAAAAAGAAACAGAGACCTGTCTTAAATGCATCCTGGTGGATAGACTTTGAAGGCAGTTGAGCTTGGGGGACAGAATCCTGTTAGATCAGCCCTTCTAGGATTCATGGAAGACTATTCTAGTTTCATCAAAAACTTAGGAAAAATAAATGGAATGAATCAGAGAAATCCAATTGCCATGAGAAGGAAGGTCATGTACTGAGACTGTGGCCAGCCACTCCAGAGATGGAGTGTTAGTTAGAAGCAAGAGAGAAAAGTGGTTCTGGCAAGGGGGCAGATGGGAAGAATGTAATGCTTATCTGCTTTACTCTGCCATATAAATATAGTCAAGTTTAGTCAACTGTTGTAAATAATTTCTTTTACAAGTACTAATTTTCTTTAGTTGTTTTCCCCCCTCAGTTAAAGCTTAGTCATTGGGTATTGTCATGAAAGTGAAAGCATGACCTATAAAGAAAAAATGAAATATCCCTTTTCAAACAGATTCTTAAGTTGCCTCCTACAAAGACCATTTTTCTAAATTGGAATTAACTTCTTAGTGTAAACCAGTTTTCCCATAGCACATTTGGAGAGAGCAAAGTGGGTAATGGAGAGGTTGTGTTTTTGTTGGAAACATGAGCATTTTTTCTCTTTGATTTAGTGAGAAATCATTTATTCTTCTGATTTATAAGCATATTTTACATATTCTAGTTAATACATCAAAAGTATAACGTGAGATTTCTCTTAAGAATGCTAAGACCACACATGTTAAACTTAGCTAGCACATTATATTAGGCTATTAGACAGATGTCACTTTTAATATCATGACACATACATATTATATATTTTTTCATTGACATAAGAGCATGCTTTTCAAAAATATTTTATTGGATGTAACTTTCTTATTCTCATGAAAACTTTTAATTCTTTAATATAATTTATTATGCCTTTTAAAATTTCTGTTTGATAAAAGCATTGGTACATTATAAATACCTGTAAAGAAAATATAGTTTAAAATTTGAGGGAAATACTTTATAAGATTCCTCTTTTACACTGGACAAAAAGAAATCCACACAGGCACTAAGAAAGACTGACAATAAAAATATTTTTATGTCTGAACAATATACTCCAGTTGAAAACATTCAAACAATGACTTTGTTGAAATATTAAAGCTTCTCTAGAGTGGACCTTTGGCTACAACCCAATGAATTGGTTGGGGATTTAACCAGGAAAAGATTCTACTAGAAAGGTGCAAGGTGGTAGCATTAGAAGCGATGGCCTCGTCTTCCCACCCCCTAGTTCGTAGCCTAGTGTTGAACCACTGGGCCAGCAGGGCTCCGGCACTCATCTAGGAGAGGCGAAGGAAGGAAGTGTAGCTCCAGCTGTTCCATTTATGCCCATTCGTTGACCTCTCTGCCTCCATTTTGTTTATGACTTGAAAATTGAGCCCATAACTCTCTGGTTCTTTTCAGTATTAAAACCTTTTAATGTGGCAAACACTGTTCAACCCTTTATATTAAGCCACGTGAAATGGTCCAGGGTAGGATGGCACTGTGTTTCTTTTAGAAGCACATCGCTCAAGCAGCCTGGGTACTGCTCTGAAAATACCCTGGGTCTGTACAAATTCCAACGCTAGGGTCGAGGGAGAAAGGTGGCTTTCCCAGCCGCACTTTAAGCCCATACGGGACAGACACCAGTGTGCTCATCCTTATGAAGTTTAGACGTTGTCGAAAAATTGCTAATGGCAAATTAAATGAGGGAACGCCATCATGGTGAGTGAGAGAGCTGATAGAGTGAGAAGTTAAGAGGTTGGCAATACATGGATTAATAGAAATGAGCATCCAACTGAGGGGGGATTAAATGAATATATAAAACTAGATCTCAAAGCTATTTTTAAGGATCTAACCTCCTTTTTTCTTTTGGCCTGTAAATGCAACATAACCCAACTAGAGATCATGACATATTCTCATAATTATTGATCATTTCAAAATCCCACTGAAAAGAAGTTGAAAGTAGTTTGGAGGTTGTTTGCCCCTCCTCCCCGCGATATACATGTGCACTTTGGACCCATTCATGTAGTGCCAGAGTAGATAAATTCAAATGCCTATATAATCCTAACAAGTGGTGCTGTAAGGTGCCACTGCAGGTGGCCTGGAACAGTGTTCTTAAGTCTAACCGAGCAGTGGCTACTCTGCTATAGTCAAGGAAATATGGGTTCAAAAATTAGATTGCTATATGAAATCTCCTACTTTCAATATTCCCTTATATATTTAAAGCATTGTACAAGCCAAAGCATGAAATCTACCTAAGGGACAAATGGGGCCTATGGGTCAAACGAATGGACTTTCAGTTTCAAACATTCAAAACATCCTGTTCTAATGAACATGGCTTTAAAAACCAAAAACAAATGAAACCTCCCATTGCTTCTCATTATGAATAATCTGTGACCACATTGGCTCTCCTCCTTATAAATTATCTCCTGTTTATTGTTATCTTAAAACACATGACTAGTTCTCTCAACATTTCTTGTGTGGCTGAGGGAGGAGTCTGGTTTGGAAAACCAGACAGAAGAGAAAGAACAGAGCATACTGCACGACTCCACTGCGTCTGTCTCTGGAACCGTCTACGGGGCACACCCATCGAGAAGGAACATTCTACAACTGCTCAAGCAGATCATATAAACATCAAAGTCGACAATCTGGTCTAAAGACTAGCTTTATCATCAGATTGTCTTTGGAGTAGAAAGGTGTGGGGTAGAACTCTTTGAGGAATCGTGAAGTCTTCCTTTTCTGACTGCTCCCTGGGCATCATATTTGAAGCGCACTATGACAAGGAATTCTTGTGGTGCAACAGTAAGCATTTGTCTGCTAACAGAAAGGTTGGCGGTTCAAAACCATCCAGGGGTTCTGTGGGAGAAAGAGCTGGCAATTTGCTTCCGTAAAGAATACAGCCAAGAAAACTCTATGGGACATCTCTGCTTCCTCTGTGGGCCTCGTCAGTGACAAGGACAGGAGTCTATGTGTTGTACAAACGGTTAACAAACTCTGTTGCTAACTGAAAGTTTCCAGAGGTGCCTTGGAAGAAAGGCCTAGAAACTTCGAAGCTCCAAATAGAACTGGCAGGAAGTCGATTCTGACTCCTGGCGACCCTTTAGGGCAGAGAAGACCTGCCCCTGGGGTTCCCAGACTGTAGCTCCTGATGGGAATAGAAAACGTCCTCTTTCACCCACAGAGTGGCTGCTGGTTTCTTACTGCCCAGTTTGAGGTTAACAGCCCAGCACATAACCCGGTGCAACTCCCCCAAAATCAGCCACTGAAAACCCCGTGGAGCACCTTCAACTCTGACAGGCAGGCGATGATCACGCGCCAGCATTGGCTCGTGGGGAAGTCACAGCCATAGCGCGTCAAAAGTGGGAAGCAAGCTATTAGGACAAATGTTCTTTCCCTCCGGCTGCAAACAAACACATCTGTTGTCAGGGCTCTGCTCCCGTTCTTTCTTTGGAGCAATGAGAGGATTTAAAGAGGCATGTTCCTATGGTGTGGCAGCTCCGTGGGGACTGCACTCCAGAAAGAGCAAACCACACTCTATGCGCAGGCAGCACGGGCAGCACGGACACGTTGGCAAAGAGCCATGATCACTGGGTCTCGCTCCTGGTGCTCATTCTCTGCAAATGCACTGCTTGGGGAGGAAAAGGAAGATGATCACAAAGGACATTATAACCGTCAGGATCAATGACAAAACAACCGCGTCAGACACGGGCGGAGTCTACGAGGAAGGAAGCAGCGTGAGGATTGCCAGCCCGGGACGAGGCCCCGCTTTAATTCTCCTCCTTGAGGATGTTCACCAGGGCCTGCAGGAGCCGGTCGTCTCGGTGCCGGTAGGGCCTCGTGTTGTAGAAAACGTCCACGTAGTCGTGGTAGAGACTGTCCTCGGAGTCGCGCAGCTGGGAAGGCTGGTTCAGCTTTTCCAGGGCTGCGTAGAAGTTTTCGTAAGGGATGTCGAGCTTCACACCGGGAGACTTCTTTGGTGATAGCTGGCGGGGAGAGTTTGGGCTGAAAGCACTTTGCAGGAGCCGCAGCATGGCCTGGGAAGGGGCTCCCTTGGCCATCTCTTTGGGTCTGTCGCCCACACTGCTGCTGCTGGGGCTCTGGGCCCCTAGGGGCTTCTCGTTCGGGCTCTCTGGGGAGGGCTGCGCCTAGAACACAGAATGGCACCGACAGAGGGGAGAAGGTGCGTTAATGACAGAAAGACACGTGAGCTGTCGTTTTGGGGGACGTCCACAGAGGCAGCGGGTGTGGGTGTGAGTGTGGCTGAGGGGAGTGGGGGGCGCTGAAATTGCACGAGGTTGGGGGTTCCACCTTCTCAGGGTCAAGTTCCCCGTCCTTCCACTTCCTGCGGTACCGGGGCACTGTTCAAAATAGCTCCAGTCCTCACGGGTCAAGTGGAACCAGAGTGCTCCTGCGTCCTGGTGCTGAAGCGTGAATGCAATGGTGCACGCTGGCATTTACTAAGATGGTACTAAAGGGCCAACGACTCGTGCAGAAGGCGCTGCCCGGAGGTGTGGCTGCCACAAGGGGGGTCCATGGCCTGCTGCAGCCTTGTTAGCAGCTGGGTTGTAAGGAGGGTCCTGGGGAGAAAGTGGGGTGGTCGACTGGGTCAAGGAGCTGGGCGGATCTGAGCAGGCGCCCTTTGTCCCCTGATGGGAGTATGTCCAAACGTTGACAACACAAGGGGCCCCGGTCATACGCCTTAAGGACACTCCGAGGGAGAAACGCCTACAAAATGGCCCTGCTGCCGGGACTGCGAAGAGGTGGCCCCCGGACCTGGGATCCCAGGGAAAACACCCCCATTTTGCAGAAGGTCAGTGGGGCCAGATTCTCAAGTGTGGTCCACCTGTGGCGAGTTTCTCAAGAGGCCCTGGCCCGAGCAGGACGCGCTTAGGGCGAGGCTTTCGGAGAACTTTCTACTCCTGTAAAAGTGAGTCTCGGACACCGCGGAGGGACGCCCTGAGTCAGCATCGACTCGGAGGCAGCGTGTTTGTGTTTCAGACAAGGACATTGGCGGCACTAGATGCCAGGGTTTGCAGAGTAAAACGACACTGGGTCCCTGCTTGCCTCCTGATGGAGCAGAAGCCAGGACCTCAGGACAGTGAGGCTTAGGAACTGGTCTCTGAAATGTGCAGAGAGAAATTAGGAGTCCATATTTCCCTTTGGTGCTCCCTGGAATATTAGCGGAGGAATCAGTAGAGAGAAGCCGAACGATTTGGCCACTTGAGGCTTCGGTTTTCTTTCTGCAAAGTGGGTAGTACCCTCTGTCCTTCTGAGGTTGCAGGGATTCTAGCTATTAGAAATGGAATCGTGTCCCCAAACCGATGTGTTGTGTAACCTCTATGCCTGTGGTTATAAATATAATCCCGTGGGTTTCTAAATGGGTTGCCTTTGCTGTGTTAGGGAGGCAGGCTTAATGGAGGGTGTGTTTGAGGGTCTATTTCTTTTGAGCTATAAAAGAGATTCAGCAAATAAGCTGCGAGGCACAGATACGAAAGTAAGAGTCCAGACCAGGAGATGGCGAGGATACAGGGCCTCTCTTTAGAAACGACAGAGGAAGAAAGCTTGCCCCCCAAAGTGGAGACCCGGAATCCATGCGGCTGGCCCCTAAACCAGGAGATGGGAACTTCTGTCTGAATGTTAATGCCATCTACTTGTAGTCTTTCTGCATAGCACTAGACAAGACACTCCACCTATGGGACTCGTAATAATGCTTACAAACCAGGTACCATGCACATGTAGGTAGCTATGATTCTGCATAGACAACTTCCCTTACAATTTGAGTCCTGTCATAATCGAAGAAAATCCGTGTTAAAGAATATATTAATTGTGAGCCGTTCATTTTCATGTCTAAGTTCTGGATTGAAGGAGGAAAAAAACGAGAAGAAAACCGTGATATCATTCTCTAGGAAATTAACAGTTTATTACCAACTCTCCCTTCCTCGCTATTCCCACATCTAACTCTCTCCCTCCTTAAAAATGCCTGGGCGTCCCCCACTGTACAGACTGCCGCGGTTAATAAGAGAGCATGCGGAGAAGCACAGAGCCTCACAGACCTCCCCGGAGTCCACCTCCTTCTCCACGCCGCGCCTGTCATTCTGAACGGTGTTGTAGGATGTGTACACGCGGGGCTGGTTCATGTGCTCTGGCCGGGAGGAGGTCCCGTGCAAAATCAGCTTCCAATTCACGATCCTGCCTTCATTTTGCATTCTTCCAGACTAACAGAAAAGCACATATGTGGTTTAGTGTGCGTTGTGAAGAATAAAGAGCAAACACGTTCATGGCACTCAGATAGGATTTTCTAAGTAAACCCATTTTTTAAATTCTGTGTATTCCATTCATAGGGCTCTAAGTAGAGAAAGGTTAATTACAGGATTCACTTTGGCTCTGAAAGCCAGGCTCAAAGATTTTAAAATGGATTGATTTCTGACAAATCAAATATTTCATGCAAAAGGCAGAATTCTCTAGATGAGCCGACTTTTCCATATTAGATGTGTCCTAGGAAAGGCAACTATTTCATCTTCTATAAATAGAATTCTATTTTCCAATGTTCAACGTGTAGCACCATTCCAGTTGGAAAAAGTCTAATCCGCCTTCAATATTAATTAGACCTTAAAATAATGAACTGGTGGGAATAGTAATAATTCTCAGGTGAAGCTATTGTGTCCCAAATAACATGCTGAAATTGAAAATACCTAAAACACATCTGAAAGCATAGAATCAGACTTTTCAGACTTAATATAAAATAGTAACATCCTGAGAAACACAGTTTTTTGGTTTCCTGGTGGGGAAATTAAATTAAAGAATAAATCTTGGCCAAGGTCAGAAACAGAACCATCTACTAATAACATGTTGTAGTTCTCCCCCAGAGAGCAGGGGTTTTCACAACGTTCACTTCTGAATCATAGGCCTTTAGGAGAAGCTATTTCCAGACAATACAAGTGATAGTGACTACTGAATTTATATTTCTTTAATCGGCATCTCCAGAAATTCAGAATCCTCTCTTTTTTCAAAAGTTATCTAGAAGCTGCAATCCCGTGCTGCCGATTCCTGTTCCTCTTTCCTCTTGGGAGAACTCAAGTGGAAGCGTCATTCAATTATTTCCTCGTCTATAAAGAACTCTGGAGGTATAATGCAAAAATAAATAATTCAGCTGCATTTGGGCCTCTTACTCTGCCACTGCTCCACTTTCATTTTGGTGACTGTGTGTTACAATTACAGTGGGATGTCAAAGAGGCTTAGTAAGTCATATGAGGTATGCTTTTCAATTTGTTGCATGATTGAAACAAACAAAATAAGTCGTACCAGGTAACGTGGTTGCCTAACAAATGCCTGCTTCTACGTAGCTGCTGGAGCAGATCATTAGAAGGGTGTCTCCGTGTGACTCCAGCAGAATGCCAGGGCGAAGCTGGTCTGAGCAACTCACTGTGACTCCAGCTGCTTCTGGGGGCTACGGAAATTGCCTATCTGGCTCCATTCAAACTTGGGAATAAATGGAATTGTCCCATCATCTGACATGGTGTTTGCCAGTGGGTCTTTTCTTCCTGTTCTGTGGACATTACTTAATCTTCTTTTTTAAGTACTATCTTTAAGATCAGGAGAGCAGGGCTTGAAATACTACAGGTTTTCCTTACTTCTACTAATTAGTGTCAAGTTCGTTAGAGGCTTGATTAACGATGACGGCAGCCCTGGAAGTGTTTAAAAGTAAGCTTGTGGTCCTCATCCATGCTCTCGCTTAGACATACCAGTACCAGTTGCCTCTGGAGTCAATCCCCATTCAGAGAGACCCCAGGCGTGTCCAACTAGAACTATACTCCACAGGAGTTTCCGTGACTAATTTTTCAGAGGAAGGTAGGCAGGCTTTTCTTCTGATGCAGCTGTAAGTGGAGTTGAACTAACAACCTTTCCATTAGCATCTGAATAAATTAACCATTGGTACCACTGATTGAACTTTCATACATACCATGTCTGTAATTCGCAAGGTCCAGGTGCCTACTGGATTCTCTCCCCATGTGTGAACAGACATGAAATCCCAGTTTTTAAAACCATTAGGAGATGTGTCCCGCTCTCGTTCGGCCAACAAGACCGTGCTGGTTCCTGTTTGGATGTAATAGACACAAGTTAATGAATGGCGTGGTCATCCTCATAGTGGAATACACACTGGTATCTAATAACTGAATATGAAATCTGGGAGATCAGAGTCCTCCCAATTTCCCCTTTCAGTATAAAAACAGGAGATATATATATTCATAAGAACACTATGTTTTTGTCCACGGCGTATTACCTGGCATATAATAATTCCCAACAAAGACTGTGGAATGAAGAACTAATGAATGAATATGTGAAGTAAGGTTTTTGTGAATGCAGAGAACTTAGAAAACTGTATTTACAAACTGGATTGGACAAAAGAAGAATTAATGATGTACAATGCATGTTAATGGAATTATCATTTTGAAATTTAAAGGAAATCTTTAAAAAAAATGTATAACTGCCTGAGTCTATAATCCAGTGTAGATATTAAAAAGAAAGCTTTATTTATTTAACAATCTTGGGCCATATAAAAACTAGTGCTTGGAGTAACTCTAACCTCTGAAGCCCAAGCTTTCTATAAATTAAAAGAAAATAATCATTATTATTTCTAAATGAAAGGTCAAATTATGAGGTCCATTAATGTATGTTTTAAAAGATCTCACCAATATTTCTGGCCATTTCTAAGAAATCACCGAAGTCTGGCTTCAAAGTGAATCGGGTCCATCTCAAACGTTAAGACAGTAGCTGGGTTGGGTCAGTGGTTCACCTGCTTAGCTACTAAAATTCATGTGCAACCAGTGCAAATGGTGGCAGGTTCAGGCCCACCCACATCTGTCTTGGGTGAAAGGCCTGACAATCTACTTCTGAAAAACCACCCATTGAAAGTTCGACTCTGGCGCACATAGGATTGTCTGGCATCTGAATCGAATCAATGACAACTGGTTACTTCAAATGTCTAGGAAGTTCATACCCTGGAAGGACAGATAGGCAAGGTAGATTCAAAAAGTTCATGAGAAAATGGAATTAAAAGGTCATGGTATATTTTCTCACCAATTTTTGCAACCCCCTCATATATAGATCACTTAATGAGATCTATATCAGTAACCCTTGATACTGAATATCTGACTTACAGGTAACTCAGACTTAACTACCATCAAGTCACAATTTGCCCTTACTTTGCAGAGCTGTAGTGTTGAAGTACGTTTAATCACAAGGTTAGCATTTCAAAACCTCTCTGCTCCTGTGGGGAGATTAGGCTATCTACTTCCACAAGGAGTTATAGTCTCATCACAAGGGCCATTCTACCTCCCTTCCCCTTGGGTTGGGGCACTTTGAATAAGAATTGACTTGACGGCAGTGAGTTTGTTTTGAAGTAATTTAACCAATCCCTACTCACAAGAAATTCTTTATCACAACCACTTTCACTTGTTGCACATGCAGTTTTAAATCTTTGGAAAACCTTTGAGCCTTTTCTTACACCAAAGCTAAGTAAGAACTGTACGTACCTGTTCTAGCTTCCTGACAAATTTGCCTTAAGGGCACATTTAGGGGTGGATCTTATTCATAACCGCCAGGGCAGCCTGTATACAACCTATAAATCTAGATATAGAAAGAGTATTCACACATACTCATATCTCCTCTGTAGAAAATGAATTTAGTCAGTTGTGTCCTACCAACACATAAAAGTGTGTTGTGATAGGTCCTCCTGGTGGTTCCACAAGAATTTCCACCTTTTCCAGGAAGGGCAAATCCCACAGAACCAGGTCTTTGCCACAACCATGTCATTAGGGAAAGGGTGTTAGTCCACTCGGCCTTCCTTCATGGAGAAGAGTTGCAGTTTCCAACGGATTTCTTGGATGTGTTAGTTATATCTGTAAGTTTCCATGATTATTTTAAGTATCAGTGTAGCATTCCCTAATGTGCACCCTAAAAGTAACGAGTGAGGCACCAAGGACCTGGGGAAGTTAAGACAGGATGAAAACATGTCTTACTGACTCCAGACAAGTTGATCAACTGGAGCCATATGACGCCACATCATTTACGGCTGACTAAGGTTCATTGGGAACCACTAGGGCAAAGCGAGATTTGACACAATAAACCAAAAATGAACAAACAACAAACAAATAAAAATACCACAAAAGCCTATTTTTTAAGGCCTGTGAATTTCCGTGACGAGACGTAGGCTTGTGGACAGATAAGCATCATCATTAATTCAAAAATCTTGCACTGGACACTTAAAAAGTACACAAGGCGCTTAGGAGTAAGTTTCGGACAGTTTTCCGTTTTACCAGCAGCAGAGGTGAGTGTGACGTGCAGGTCTCCTCGGCGGGAATATTCGATGGTCGCCTCAAATTGCACATGCTCCAGGGACTTGACGGCATTCTCTTGCCCTTCACAAGCTCTTGTTGGGATTTCAATGATAACTTCTCCATTCGCTTGCAGGGCTCTAAAGACATTCAAGGATCATTTCAGAAAGCATGTCTCTCCTTCCTTGCATTTTCTGTGCACACATCACTTTTGACTTGATACTCAACAAAGTATGTTGTCTCTCCCAGCTATGGATAGGGCCCATTTCAGGATTAGCTATAAATAAATGTTATCAGGTAATCAAGTGGCAAGGAGTACAGATACTTGGATACAATGTTGCAGGTTTGCCTTTGGTCCATCAAAAAAAAAAGTTGCATTATCACAACATCGAAAGACTTTCTTAACAAATACATTGGTTATGTAAAGCCTGCCCAATACATGCCCTTCAATCTGTCCGCCCTTGGGTATTTCCTGTTAAGTGGGTGTTCAGTATGATCATGGTTTTGTTGATGGAAACAATACAATGGCTTTACCAGACTCTGCTTTTAAGGTAAGATATGGTGGGAAGATAAACAATGCATATGTAAAAACAGTGTAATAAATTGTCCTTATGAATCACATAACACTTGGAAAACAGATTTAGGTTACATTGGGCTGGAAAGTTATGCACTTGATCAAATGTTATATATATTACAATGAATATACAATGAATCTCTTTGAAAGCCTGATCTTATGAATGGGGTCATGGCCTACAGCACGGAGCATCAGTTTCACATCCAACCTTTCACCCACGTTTTGTTGCATCTCATTTGTTGTAATCTCAGTGCATGGCCACTTATCCCCCTGGGTTTCCTGTTTCCATTCTTCCTTCCTTCCTTAACCCTTCTGAACTTAGTCCTCAGGTAAATGCTGTCCTTTTAATCTCCAATATTTTATTCTTCTAAGATGTGCATATCTCACTAGTATTATAGTTCCTCTTAAAGACAAGTCTGCTTTTCTACTAAAAATTGAGACACAGGGCTGAGTTCAGTTCCAGATGTCATGGGTGACGAAGAGCTGCTGTCAGAGGCTCCACTAGTCCTCTTCAACCAGTCAGCCAGGTCTCTTATATGATTTTGAGTTGTGTTCCACATTTTCCTCCCACCCTATCTGGGGGTTTTAATGTGAGCACTTGGTGGTAGTGGCCAGGCACCGTGTATTCTTCTGGTGCTGGGGTCAAGGAGATATGTGCCTTGTTCACTGTCCATCTGGACTAATAGGGTCCATGTCTCTTCAACTTTCATCACTCATCTTTCCTCTGGACAGAGCAAGGCCAATGTTTGCACCGTAGATGGCTGCTCACAAGCGTTTAAGACCCTGTTGCTTACAAAGTAGGATGTAGAACATCGTCTTTGTGGACAATTCCATACCAATTGGCTTAGGTGCCCCTCCAGACTATGGACCTGAGTCCTCCAACCCAGTGACAGTAATGAATCTTAAAATTGATATTTGGTCATCCTTTAATTGGCAATGATTTTTCTTAGTGCTATATAACACAGTGCTGCCCCTTAGATGTAATGGAAATACAAGAGCTTCAGAAATTCATGAACAAAGTTCTTTGTTTTGTTTTCTAGCATGATTTACAAATCTGTGCTCTCTCCAGGGTTCCCCACGGAGACACACAGGGTACACTGGTAAACTCCACCTTCCTCTACCTCAGAAGCACAGGTGGTAAAACAAACAAGCAGAGTGTCAAGTACTGTGATGAGTGTCATGGACATATATTTGTTTAAAAGATCTTTACTTACCTGGGCTCAAAGTCATTGTCTTTTACAACACATTCTTTCTTTTCAGGCACGTTGCTCCAGGTCTTAGGATCAGCTAAATCTACCAGTGCTTTGGCATTGAGCAACCCAAATCCAAATCGACTATTAACCATCAAGCCTGCGCCATTCTTTTTCCATCCAGGGTTATTGGCCAATGGGTCATACTCAGAGGTCCAGACAACCAAGTGCTGCATGTCTCGCCAGGTAAGATTTGGGCTGGAGAGGAAATACCCAAAGTATCTTTCAGGGTTGTCATAAGGTTTCCTTGCAAAATCAAGGGTTAAAGACAAGCACCTCTCTTCAGGATTATTTGTGTTTGGCAATTGTACTGAGATAATTTTAATGTGCATTATAGTGATGTCGTTTACACTCAGAATTGAAAACGCAGTACTGAAAACTTCTCTCCACAGCAAGTCAAGTAAATAAAATTTTGTCTTCAACATGGTAGAAGAAGCAAAGGACTATAAGGCCTGCCCATGACTTCTAATGATTTCAACTTGACTGGAACAAAAGTGAGATCATGAAACATGTTTTGTTTTCCTGTCTCCTCTTTTCAGTATCAGGAACACAGTGTTGACCCCCTTTACTTCCTCCTAAGACACAGTTACATTTCTAAAACACAGGCTGGCTTCCTGCTCTTAAAGACCTTTCGTCTTTTTCCTCTGTACATCTGAAGTGTTGAGGAATTTAGCTACTTGGGATGGCTCTAAATGCTATGGGGGATATTCAAGGAGGCGATTCTTTTCTGTACTAAAGTTACAACCCATTTAAAAAACAATTATAGTGTATCTGTGGATACTGTCTTCATGGCACAATATGTTGTGGAAGTTTGGAGTAGCAAGAATTCTTGGGGCTGAGGACACCAACCAAGAAAGGCGTTCTTTAAGTGGAAGGAATATTTAAGCTGAACTTTGATAATGGGTAAATATCCTGAGTTAGAGATCGAGAAGAAGGAAAGGACTGATTGAGCAACGGCACTGAGATGGGCACCTTGATTATAGTAAACAGTCATGTTTTCTGGATCAGCGAGGAGGCAATTGGAAGTAAAGGACCATGATGGTGAGGACTTCGGATGCCAGGATCAGGGGCTTATACTTCATCTGGGCAATAGCGAATCATCGAGGAAGCACAAGAAGGAGATTGTAACAATAAATCCTGGTAAGGTTAATTCAGCAACAACATAAAGATCAATAAGAGATGGGAGGAAATGTTTGGTGTTTAATAATGAAGACGAGATCTTCCTGATCCTGGTATTTAAAATTTGAATCTTCCCCCATGCTTCCAACCCCTCTTTTCCCACTCCACGGGTCCTCCCACAGTGCTTTTCACCTGCTAACATATCAGGCAGATCATTTATTTTGTGTATTATTGATTGTCTATCTTTCTTCTTAAAGTGTATCACAGGAAGTGCTGAGATCTTTATCTACCTTGTCTCTTATGTGTACCAAGAACCCAGCACCGTGCCAGGCACAGGGTAAAGCTAAGTAAACACTGAATGGTGTATTGCTTGGTTGCACCTAAGTGTTAACTAGCCCTGAATATAATTTTAAATGTTCTGCATTTAGTATTAGTCAGTCAGCTTCTTTCAATATCTCAAGTTTTCCCCTGGTTTTGAGACCTACATTATTCCATCAAGTGCATAACGCAATTTTTAATAATAAATGCCCTAGTGCTTGCTCCTCATGGTACCTATCTATCTGATGTCTAGATTATGGAACCATCATCTGGGAAATCTGGCTCAATTTGCTGTCCCTTCCCCAAAGTCCACAATGTGCTGCTTAAACAGACTCCTGTTGGCAAGAAAGAGGCAATGGGCACTCCGAAGTGTACCCCTCATCTCCCAGGGAGCAACTAACAGAGGCCTTGGAAAGACTCAAGCTCAGTGAGTCTCAGCAGGTCCTGGACCCTTGCCCTCATAATCACTTGGTCCACTTGCTTCATAAGTGGCTGATACACCTATATTATAATCCCCGGATTACAAGCCATAATCTCCTGCGGCCCTCTTATTAGAATCACGTGTTCACTGAGAAGGAGGCCTGGCAGGGCAATGGCTCAGTGCTCAGGTGCTAGCCGATGTGTCCGTTGTTTGAACTCGCAGCTCTGAGGGAGAAGAGGTCAAGCCATGTACTCTTGTACAGATTACAGCCAAAGAAAAGTCATGGCAAGGGTGTGTTCCCCAGTAAACAAGGTAAACAGGTTCTTACTTGTACTTAGGTATTCACCACGTCTGTTAGATTAGTAGGTAAGCACAAGTAAGCCCACGCTTACATTGCTTCCTGAGTCCCCATCCCTGTTGGGGATTATACCTTTGAAAAGAGGTTTTAATTCTTTAGGAAACTGCTGTGGGGTTGGGAGAGAGATAGATGCCAGCAATATGTAGAAGCAAAATCTTCGATGTTGTGAAAACCCAGGAAACGATTCACTACAGATTAGTAAGTAAGCTTATGTAAGCCGTGGCTACCTGGTTTGTTGGGTGACCTGACCCTTCCCTATGGGACAATTGTACTCAATCATAGAGGGAACGCTACAAGTCATTGTCAACTGCTGGCACACAATGACAAATAGTGACAGCTCCCAGGTCCCAAACCTAAACCTACTAAATCAAAATATCTGAGACTGAGGGAGACTTTTAGTGCAAATTAATTTAAGAAAGACCGTCTTACCTGTCCTTTGTTGCAGCTAAAATAATAGGGGTTAGTGGGGAAAATGCAAGTACATAATCAAGTAAGACCATCATTGGGTCTGAAGAGGAAGCAATGTTGTTGTGCGGTGCCAGAAAGTTGGTTCTGCAACTTTCAAAACGGCCAGATAAGCCGCGGGACCAAACACTGCCCAGCGCCGTGTCAGCCACATAAGCATTGCCGCATTCGAGCGCATTGCTGCAGCCACTGTGTCAATCCATCTCACAGAGTGTTCAACTTTTTTTCAGGGGCCCTCTACTTTACCTTTACCCTGTGATATTCTTTTCCAGGGAGTGGTCTCTCAGGATAACATGTCAAAATATGCGAGGAGAAGTATTGCCATCTTTGTTTCTAAGGAGCATCCTGGCTGTACTTCTTCTGGCAGTGCATGGTACACTCAATGTAACAGTGAGAAGCAAAATAAACTGTATCCAACCACCAAAGAGCTATGTGACCTTAAGCAAGTCAAGTGTATCTCTCTGCATCTGAGTCAACTCATCAATAAGTGTTGAATAAGACAATTTGAAAACTTCATATTACTTATACCTCTAGATGCCTAATCAGGAACCCTGGTGGTATAGTGGTTAAATGCTCAGTTGCTAAGCAAAAACCCAGAGATTCGAAACTACCAGGAGCTTCATAGGAGAAAAATGTGGCAATTGGTTTTGTAACTATTACAGCCTTAGAAATTCTCTGGAGGCTGTTCTACTCTGTTCTGTAGGATTGCTATTAATGAGAATCAACCCAATGGCAGCAGGTATATAATACATGTGAGTAACAAGGAAGTTGGTGGCACAAGAGTTAAGCACTCCTCTGCTTGGACACTCCACAGGAGAACGAACTAGGGATCTCCTCCCATAACAACCACCGCCTGGGATCGCCTATTAGGCAGTTCTACGCTGTCATGTAGGGTCACTATGATCACACTTACATGGACCTACTATTGTAAATACTTTTGTAGATCTGTTTCCTTGTTGACCAACCTTTTTAATGGAAGATCTGAAGGAAAGAAACCAAATGTACTGCCTGACAAGTTGATTCAACTCATAAAGATCCTATAGGATAGAGGAGAACCCACCCCCACCCCACCCCATGGATTTATCAGCTGTCACCCTTTACAAGCGTAGAAAACCTTATCTTTCTCCTGCACAGCAGCTGCTGGTTTTGAGTCACTGGCCCACGATGCCACCAAAGCTCCTTTAAAGAGTTACTATCCAAGCAAAAACGGCTGCTTTCTTAATGTAGGTCTGATTCTATCCTATAAAGTATTTTATTGTCATGTTTGCCTTCCAGTTGTTTTTAAAGGGGTTTTAGGTAAAAGTCTCTAATCAAGGTCGTCAATGGACCACACACCAGGTTTTCCTTGGGCTCATCAGTGTGCACATGTCTGTCTGTCTGTGGACATGGAGGTGAGACAGGCATCATCCTTTGCATCCTTGTATGTAGGTCAATATTGATAAGCATCGAGATGCAATCCGCCAGGGTTCTGAGATGCATCACGATCACACACAGAGCAAAGGGGTTCTACATTTGTACAGCACAGCATTTCTTTTCTCTGGAGTTACAGGATTCATTGTTTTGCATTTTCTTTGATCTATTCTTTGTAAAATATTCAAGGGGACTTTATTATCCTGCAATTAAGAAAATTAAGCTTATTTTTCTAACAGCTATTCTTCACTGGTAATTGCATTTCATAAATAAAAAGGAGCTGCTAACAATAGTACATGGCATTCCTGACAGACTTTGATAATTAGTGTTCACCAGCATTCACAGTAATTAAAGTAAAAAAAAAAACCTGCATTGGCTTTCTGATCAAAGATATGTTTATAAAAATGAGGGCAAGTGAATTAAACACTGAAATTAAACATTGCTTCTAATGAGAAGAAACATAGGTAAAGAAATCTGAAGACAAATTTCTAGAGTTAAAAAAGGTTTAGGGGTCACCTGGCTATGCCTCTAATGATACCTAGGATTGTCAGAAGTTGGAGAAAGTTTAACCAGGATAATCCACTGAATCAAAGGATGTCTTTGATAAGGTTTACCCCAGGGTTTCTTGCAGCACTCAAAGTCCGTTTCCCTTTCCCCAGCTTTTAACACCACAGACTGGCTCAGCTCTTTTCCTCTCTTTAGTAGTTTGGAGGGAGGCCATGCTCTGCCTCCGTCCTTGGAGAAGACCACCGTGTGGTAAAGCAGAGGGCTGGCAAGCAAGAGGACAGATGAACACAGTGGCTGCCCCAATGGGCGCCAACCTAAAAGCCATGGTGAATAGGGCACGGGCTGGGACAGGGCTTCACGCTATTGTGCATGGGGCTGCCTTAAGCCAGAGCCAACTGGACAGCGCCTAACAACATAGGATTTCCTATGACTCTTTGCTCTCTGCACAGAATCCAAGTCATTCTCTTCTGTGTTTCTTAGACATACTTACTGTACAACAATGATGGTTCCAGGTGGCCAGCGTGTTTTCTCTAGAACAGTGTTTCCCAAAGTGGGCAGTACTGCCCCACTGGGAGGGGGGTGCTGAAACAATCCAAGGAGAAGGAGGCTGAAAAAGTGGATACCTAGACTTTATCCTGAATTATAAATACATTTTTAATGGTCTGGAGGGTCCCTGAGTAATTTCTTTTTCTGAAGAGGGGACGGTAGGCCAAGTAAGTTTAGAAACCTATGCTCTAGAATATGCCTATTAAGTACCCTGGTGGACCTCTTTACAATCCTTGCTGCTGTGGAAAACACAGTTGTATCAGTAATTCTTTATAGCAAATATTTCTCAAGGTTTGACTAACTGCTTCTCAAATCAGGCATTCCAGCTGAAACCTGCCTGGGACGCTTCCCCAGAGAGAGGTTCTTCGGCCATGCTCTGCTTGGTACAGTAGAGGTCAGCAAGAGAGGAAGCTCCTCAGCAAGATGGACTGACTCAGTGGCTGCAACCAGGGGCTCAGGCATCACAAAAGCTGTGAGGCTGCGGCACGACCAGACAGTGTTTCATTCTGGGGCACACAGGGTGGCTACAGTTTGGGACCAACACCTCACAACAACAAAACAGGCAGCATCCTAGAATTGCCGGGTGAGAGTTACTGAGAGTTACATTGAATCTGTGCATTGAATGAAGTCCCAGGTGATTTGTCCGTAGGATAATGGTTGAGAACACTCCTCTAAAGAAGGCAAGTCTTCCTCTGGTCATGTTTCCGACACCATTCTTTTCCCTTCCCTTTCCTCTTCCCACAGTCCAGCATCACCCCTGTACGGCATTTATACAGGACAGCGAGTTGTCTACTGGAATAGAAACGTCGTACAAGGGAATCATCAAAAAATATGAAGTGACTGCTGCTTCTTTATCAGCCTCAACCTTGTAGCCCCTTCCTTTGAGGGGGGGATTGACTAGCATCCAACATTCCTCTTTCTTACAGGGTGATTGGGGCCAGAGTCCTGGGTTTACGTGTTGGGTTGCTAAAGGAAAGGTCAACAATTTGCATCTACCAGCTACCCCAGGGAAGACAGGCGAGGCTGTTCTCTGCCATAAAGAGTTCCAGGATCTCAAACCCTAGAGAGCGCTTCTACTGGACGTACCGGTTCACTAGGATGGACTCCCTGACACTGGGTGGTCAACAGGGCTATGAGAGGCAGCATAGTTAAGTTGCTGGTAGCTCAGTTTAGCCAAGAGGTCTTCAACCTTATAGCTGTTCCTTGGGGTAAGAGACATGGATATAAGATTCTTCCAATCCTAATTGTCTAGGGATAAACTTTTGGTCACATTTCTAGCAACTCTGGCCTTCAGGTTTTCTGAAATAATGGAGTGCAGAGAACTGCCCCATTGACAATGGCTATATCTCAGTAATGTCTATGGACTTTGGCAGGAAGGATATAAATGTTACGGCAAATCAAGTCTGCCTTACTTATTGGTTCAGTCAACATTAGGTGAAAAAGTCACCTAATATGGAGCAGGGATATCAGACTCTTAAAATCTCTGAAATTATGGGCAGTGTGAGAATCTGGTGGAACCTATAAACCATTCGCCAGAAAAATACTGTGCACACTCACGAAAATCCTGTGTAGAGTTTGAGGGAGGTTCGTGGTCCCCTCAAAACCTATCCGTGTGCTCCATAGTAACCTATGGATTCCCTGCTTTAGAGAGAGTCCATCAGAGATTAAACTAACTAAGGTTTAAAAGGCTAGTTCATTCTTGGGTATTTTTCTCTTTGTACAAAAAAAATTTTTGAAGCTTTAGAATCAGAGTTTACAATTTGTTTTTTGGGTTTTGTTTTTTTATCGTTGTGGCCACCTGCTGACTACTGGATTTGATGTGAAATGAATATTACGTTAAATAAACAAACCTTGTGGTTAGCAGCAACATGTAACCACCATCCACCAGAGTGTCGGGTGGGGAAGACAGACTTGAGCTTACACATCTAGGTAGTTTCCTTCTAGCCCAGGGTTTCTCCACCTTCCTAATGCCGCTACCCTTTCATACAGTTCCTCATGTTGTGGTGACCCCCAACCATAAAATTATTTTCGTTGCTACTTCATCACTGTAATTTTGCTACAGTTATGAATTGAGCGACCCCTGTGAAAGGGTTGTTTGACTCTCAAAGGGGTCGTGACCCACAGGTTGAGAACCACTGTTCTAGCAGCTACCTGGGGGGCTCGACGTCCTGTAGGCTGAAATCGTGAACTCTGTAAGCCGATTTCACTGCCTGTAGGGTACACACCTCTGCCACCGCCCATTTTCTTCTCTCCCATTCCTCATCACCAAACACAACTATTCAGCTTGGATGTCTCCTATTTGCTGGTATCTTCTCTTTCATGTATAAGAATCTTATAAAGGGAAGAGGTTTTTAAAAAGGGAGGTGGGAATTTTTTTTTTTTAAGGAAGGTAGAGGGCTTTCTCTGACTCATCACTACAGTGGTTCTCAACCTGTGGGTCGTGACCCGTTTGGAGGGGGTCAAACAACCTTTCCACAGGGGTCACCCGATTCATAACAGTAGCAAAATTACAGTTATGAAGTAGCAATGAAAATAATTTAATGGTTGGGGGGGGGGTTCACCACAACATGAGCAACTGTGTTAAAGGGTCGCCACACTAGGAAGGTTGAGAACCACTGAGCTAGTAGATGATAAAGTGGGTCTCCAGCATGGAATCAACTTTTCTAAGGTCCCACTGTGACTGGCAGAGCTAGACCTTGAAGCCAACTGCTCCTGGCACTATTTTTCCTTAAAGCTAGTTTGGAGATGCTGGTACCAGCCTTAGCTTACACTTGTAGAGTTTGCCCTCTCTCCATCACCCGCCTATTATGTGTGAACTCACGTTCTAAGCACCGATTTTCTGACGCTCTCAAGAGCTTCATATTTTTCTCTACTTCTGATTGAGCACCTGGGTTTGCTTATTCCCTTACCAGACATCTTTCAAACCCCTGAAGGGAGGTAGACTCTGTCCTGCCTAGGCATTGTGGCATTCCCATAGCTGAGATGTCCTGAGATACGCTGGGTCCATAGGAAGTCCCAGGCTTCAAGGAGCTAAGCTGGGCTCTTCTGGAGAAAAGCTTGACAACTTGACAATGTTTCCAGTTGGGTTACTGGTCAAGATGTTCTGCTTGTGCACTTGGTCTATTGAATATTACCCAGGGGACTGCTTGCTCCCCTCTATAGAAAGTATGCGCATTCTCTGATAGATGGATGATCTCTTTATTGGGAAAGCTAATAATAGTTAACATGTCTTAACCACTTCTTCTAACAAGCAACCACAGAGCTTGTGAGGCACTTGAGAATATTCTGTTGCCACATAGTATCTATCAGAAAGCAGAATGGAGGACAGTTAAGACCGACTGTGGGTGCAGAGTGGAGAATTTTTGTAAGCTATACTAAATATTGTGTTGGCTAATATATGGGGGGATGCTACTACCTTCCTTTGTAATACTGTATGCCCAACTAAATCTAAAGGGGATTTAGAATTTAAATAGAGTAAAGCAACCTTAAAAAAAAAAAGGTAAATAAATGTTTACCCAATTTCAACTTGTGAAAGGCTTTCTGTGGGCATAAAAATAAAAGAAGAACCTAAAATTCACAGGCGAGTAAAGCAGCAAGACACAGAGAAGCCAAAGGACAAGGTAAATGCCAACCAGGCAAAGCAGTAAGAGCCTTCTAACCAAAGCTTGAAAGCCAAATTAAGGCCATTAACAAGCAATCACAGAGGATGAATAGACAAAGGTTATAAAACAGTGAGCTTCATTAGCAATGAAATAAAAGCATATTATAACGGGATACCATTTTCACCCATCAAAATAGCAAATAATTTGAAATGATAAAAACAGCCAAGTTAAGGGTTTAGGACATGCTCTTTCTAACACGTTCTGCAGAGGCAAATCTAAAACGGGGATGTCTTTCTAGATAGCCACTTGTCGCTACCTGTCAGACTCACTCGAGCTTGCCTGCCATTTGACCAAAAATTCCAATTCTGAGTGCTTTTCCCGAGGAAATTATCAGAGATGACAACCAATATTTATGAATGAGGGTGCTTATCTGAGCATGATTACATGATCTCAGTACAATTTGCATTTATACAATGGAAAGCTATCAAAAGAGAGCATTTCTGGGTTTCATTTTCATGTCCCCTGACATGAGCTTATCAGCCCAAATATTAGGTTTATATAATAATCTACAAAAGGGTGGGTTTTTTTATAAGTGTGCTCTAAAACCTACCCACGGGACATGACCTTGGGTACAATCTCCTTGTCTGTTGAGTGTAAGTATGAGGAGAACTCGAATGCAAGAAGGACCAGTGTGGGCTGAGGGGACAGGGAGATAGAGATAGAGATAGACAGAGAGAGAGAGAGAGAGAGCTCAGGGATTTAGAACACTGATTTAGGCATGAGAAAATGCTATTCATATGTGAGCGTAGATTTTTTTTTCATCTTGGTGGTGAAACAGTTAAGCATTGGGCTGTTAATCAAAAGGGTGGCAGTTCAAATCCATGGCAAGGCTCCCTGAGAGAAAGACCTGATATCTGTTTCAGTAAAAGTGGCAGCCAAAAAAACTCTGTGGGGGCAGATCTACCTGGTCACATTGGCTCAACAGGAGCCCCAGTAGATTCCAAGGCTTTGAATAACACTGATTTTTCAAAGAGACTCTCAAATAACGGATGTATTATGGCCCCAGTTTTGTAAGGTCCCTGTGGGGATCTAACAATAATCATCTCAGGGTGACAGAGGACATGTTAGGAGAATCCTCTTCCTAAAGGACCCCCATTTTCTCCTGTAATCACAGACACAGAACACAACACATGTCCACGGAAACGAGAGGAAAGAGAAGCAGCCTTCGGGATGAGAAGCTCTCTGGTCTTACTTTGCTTCCAGAGCCAGCGCAAAGATGCCCGCAGCCAGGGGTGCGGAGGCCGAGGTGCCCGTGTGGGTCTCTGTGCAGCCATTGTGCAGGTCGGCGCTCATCTGCATGGCATTGGGAGGAGAGAAAGGCAGGGAGAACGCGTGAGGAGGAAGCGCTGGCCCCGGGGGTTCACTACACCCAGCCTTGCATCTGCTGCCACCAGGAAGCGCAGCTGATCCGTCCCTGCTTCCTCCTCTAAACCACCGGGTGGATATTTGCCATCTGCCGCTATTTTCATTCAGTCTCCTCTATATGCAGCTTGTCTATAATTCTGGCATCCAAGATGCCTTTTCTGGGGACGAAGCACTCCCACCACGAATATTTTCTCTTCTGAGATTCCCAAATGAAAATGCTGTCTATTAAAAAAAAAGTGGGGGTGCTGTTTCAAAATCACTGTGAATCATGCCGGCCCACTAATCATCGGGTCCTTTGTGTTTAGTCTGGCGGCTTTAGAGATTCTGCCTCATGCCAGTGGCGTCACTAGGGGCTGTGGGGCGGGGGTGCGGGCCACACCTGGTGACACTGTCAGAGGGGTGACAGCAAAATGACTAAAAGTTTTGTTCGGAAACTCATTATCTATTATTTTTTAACATCTCTATGGTTAGGGATGGCATCCTGGTGGTGCTGTCAGATCAATGTTGGAATGATAAACGCAAGATCAGTGGTTCAAACCCACCCGCAGCTCCACGAAGAACAGATGGAGCTGTCTGCTCCTGGAAACACGTGCACACTCTCCAGAACCCTCTGTAGGGGCTCCAGGAGTTGGGGTGGCCTCAATGGTCGGGGTAGGGTAGGGTGGGGGTGGGGGTTAGTTATCGTGGGACCCCTGGTGGTACAGCAGGGACTGTAAATGGGAAGCTAGAGGCTCCAAACTCACAGCTATTGTGAGGGAGGAAGACATGAGAGTTGGCTTCCCCGTCCCTCCCAAAAAAATGCAGCCTGTGAAACCCTATGGGTCAGTTCACCCATCTAGTAGGGTGGCTGGGAGTTGGAATTTGACTCCAGGGCAATGGGTTTCCTTAGTTACAGAAACACAAACAGTTTTTGTAAATCCAGATTACATATCTACCTACTGAGCTAAAATGCTATGCTAATTGGCTTTTTGCACCTTCTAGGGTCTTCTGAGGAGCCCTGATGGTATAGATGTAGAGGAATGCGTTGGGCTGCTAACTGTAAGTCAACAGATGAACCCACCAGCTGCTTCTCAGAGAAAGACAAGGCTGATTACTCCCATAAATAGTTACATTCCTGGACTCCTACTAAAGCAGTTCTACCCTGTCTTATAAGATCTTGGTGAGTGAGACTTGACTCGATGGCAGTGAATTTGGTTTGGTTTGGTTTGGTTTGGTAATATGCTCTGGTCTGATCTGCCATTATTACCCATATCAATGACACTTCAAATTGCGTGGCTTCATCTGCATGCACTACAAGCATGCACTACAAGCATGTTGCTTTTGTTGCTCTCTGCAGGCTACACACTAGACTATTAACTCCAAGATCAACGGTTTCAAAGACCCCACAGAGACCGTTCTACCCTGTCCTAGAGGATTGCTTTGAGTTGGAACGCGCTCGATGGCAGTGAGTTTGATTTTGATTTGGTGATTTTATAGCCACCTATTTTGTCTATTTTTCTGGTGTTTTAGCTCCAATAAAGTGGTGAGTAGAACTTTAAAGGAGTAATTAAATGAAGAGAAGGAGCAAAAGAGAATAGCTTCTACTCTGTTACTAATAATGTTGTAAGTAGTGAAGATATTTTTCAATGTCAAATATTTGGTGAGTCAGATTTATTATTGATATGATCTAAGCAATATTACATTTAAGCACTTGACAACTAGAGTCCATTGGAGTCTATGATCAAAAGTGATAATAAACGTCACTAAAGATTCTATGGTGCTTATTACCACTTTCGATCATAGAATCCAATGGGGTCTAGTTGTCAAGTGCTCATAGGAGCCCTGGTGGTCCAGTGGTTACCTGTTGGGCTGCTAATCTCAAGATCTGCAGTTTGAAACCACCAGCTGCTCCGTGAGAGAAAGAGGAAGCCTCTCCTCTGGTCCAAGAGCTACAGTCTTGGAAATGCCCAGGGATAGTGCCATCCTGTCCGAATCAACTGGGTGGCCATGAGCGAGTGAAGAAATCTGTACGGGCACACCCCCCTAGTGATCACACTGCCCCTGCAAAAGAATGTGAAGTCACCAGGCCTTGCTTCTCCTCCACTTGCAGGATGTTTGCTTTGTAGATCGATGGCACTGACTGACTGCACTGGAGGCTCCCGTGTGAACGCTGCCACTAGCAGGTGCCAGGAAAGCCGCAGGGCTCTCAAGGGAAACTTGCCCTGCACTTAAATCCCGGTCCCTTCCCAGAACTGCTGCGTCTGAGATGAGGACCAAGGGCCAGGCGCTTGGCTCCCCCATCAGGAAAGCGAGGCTGGCATGTCCTGGCACATAGTCTCAGCACTAAATTAGTCCGTGTCTGCAAAAACATTTTAAAAAAATATTTTGGAATATGAGAAAGTACCCCAGGCTAACTAACTTTAGGGCAACGAAGAGACATTGGGGGGCGGGGGGGGGATTTTCCGTCTGCCTTTAGAATCTGTCGTGTGGCAGGGTTGACAAGCAGTTGGGCCAACGGCTTGGTTACTATCACGACACCCACCTGGCCCCCAGCACGAGGATTTTTGAGCTAGAGGCTTGTCGTGTGAGAGGCAGGTGTGAAAAAATAATTTGTTCTTTTATCACCTCCTTTGGTTTCCCACTTGGAGTCGCTGGATTTTCTCAAGTTACGGAGGGCTGCGGAAGCACGCCTGTCCTGGTTACCTCCTGACGCAAGAAGGCCCCAGAGATGGACGTGTGGGGGCAGAGGCTGGTGCACGAAGAGGCGGTGGGACTCCAGCTGTCTCAGACAGAATTCGCTCTGTCTCTCCCACGGCCGATCGTGGCGGAGTCTTTACGGACCCACTGCCTCCTGCGTCATTGTAGGGCAGCCCCAAGGAGCGATAGTCTAGGGCAGTCACGTGGAAAAGCCTAGCAAGCCGTTTCAGGAAAGGCAGCCCTGGACACCCAGGACAAATTGGACAAAAGAAGAAATTTGGGGAGTCAGAACACAGGTGGACCAGATGCCTGAAGTGCCCTTTCAGAGAGCTCTCAAATCAAGCCTTCTCTCAAGAATCCATGGGCAGAACGTCGCTGTCTATTGTTGGAGTGAATGAAGATAGGGGCAGCGGCTTGGGGTGGGCCAGTGCTCTTCAATCGAGGCCACGGTTTTCCTGCCTAAATGAGAGGGAATTGCAGAAACAGGCAGCATTCCAGAATAGCGATCCTGCATGAAGAAGAGAGTAGTGCCCACGATTTTTGTTGGGATGCCCTTAATAAGAGTTTTACATATATATCCTAATCTAATTATCGTGGGCTCCACCACCAACCTGGTTGCCTGGTGACCTGTCATTTCACTGAGATGAGGCTCATCTGGGTCTGGGCTTCAGGGAATGGGGGTCGGCATGGGAGCAACTTGGTTCTTTCCGTGCCAGGGTTTAAATTGGGGGGCTTTAAATTTTTAACTGTAAAGTGGCTCTCTCTAGTCTCAACGCTTCGGAATGGCCCTTCATCATCCGTGCCCTTGAAGGGAAATCCAGTAATTGCCCTTGGCAGGCTGACTCATGGAAGCAGAGACACAGCCAAGCGTGGGCTGCAGGAGCTCTCTAAGCATGTGCCCTCCCTGCAAAGCTGCTTCTCTGGATGCCGAGTAGCTCACCTCAGGGGAAATCCAGACTGCTGTCTTCCTGCAGACCGTCCACTCTAAGGAGGCAGAACTTGTGTCTGCTCTGTGTTTTTATCACCCGCTAAAGGGCAAGGGAGACCGAGTCCCTGCTATTAGAGGATCAACACGTGTGAGGCTGATAAAGCCCCCCACGGCCCTGAGATCTCCTTGAGGGCTGTTTTCAGGGAGACCCCACACAAGCAGCGGGGGCCCGGGGTGACCCCACGGTACGTAATGACCGGTTTGGTGGCTTCTCGGGTTAAGTTTAAAAATCTCAAGGAGGCCAGGTCATCTTGACAGAAGTGTCATGATCCCCGTGAGAGAAAATTTTCCAAGAGATGGCAGCCTTTCAAGTAAGTCAGCATGAAGTCTCCCCAGCTGAGGCATCAAGCTTAAGCAAATCAATTTTCACCAAAGGTCGGTTTGGAGGATCATTCTGGATGCAAGCCACGCTTCCCCACCTGAGCAGAGAGAAGTAGACAAAAGCCACATACGATTCGCTGGTCGGTGTAATCCCCGCTGCTGTAAGAGGTGGCCAACGTGGAGGAGCACTTCTCGGCGTACCAGGGGGAGAGGCCTTGCTGGGAGGCGCTGCTGATGGAGATGGTGTAGATGCTGTCTGTGTAGCCGTCGCAGTCACAGTTGTCTCCCTGCCGGCCCCCATTCCCTGAAGCCCAGACGAAGATGGAACCCTTGCCTTGTCTCCCCTAAAGAAAAAGCCATAAGATGGGTACCGCGTTGGCAATCGGCTTATTGAACCCACCCAGTGACGGCACGGAAGAGAGGTCTGGCAATCTGCTTCTCCAGATTAACAAAAGGTTTTATTTCCACTGCCAGCGGTCGATGTTGACTCGTGGTGACCCCGCAGAACAGGGCAGAGCCGCCCCTGTGAGTTTCGGACACTGTAACTTGACATTACCACCTACTCAGGAATACAGGGGGTGACCAGCAGTCAAATATGATGTTGCTTGTTTGCTCTTTAATAAAATGTGTTCCCAGCTATGCAGTCGCTCTGGAACCCTGCTGGGACAATGAGTTAAGCATTGGCCTGCAAAGTGAAAGGTTCTTGGTTTAAAACCACCGGCCACTCTCCAAGAGAGAAAGATGAGTCTGTCTGTTCCTATGAGGAGTTACAGTCTCAGAAACCTAAATATGGTCCCTAGGGGTGAGAATGGACTTGGTGGCAGTTAGTTAGGTTTGGTGGGTCTGGAGAGCTCCTGGGCAGTGCAAACAGTGACCAGGCTCAGCTGCTAACTGAACATTTGGAGGCTCAAGGTCACCCGGCGGAACCATCAAGTGGCCTGATGATCTACTTGTGAAAACTCAGCCACTGAAAGCTCTGCGGAGCTCAGTGTCTACTGTGACACATAGGAGGGAGCCACGAGTCACAGTCAACTCTCAGGGAACTGGCGTTGTCATATTCCAGTAAAATCCCAACAAGCAAATGCGGGCAGGATGTTCTCAGGGAGTGTCTTAGGGCCTATTTTTGACTCTAGTTTCCCCAACATCAATGATGAAAATCTCACAAGGCTGCCAAAGCCGTCAGACTCTGAACCCGAGCAATCCTCCGCCATCTGAGCATGGATAGGAAAAGCATTGCTTTTCTTCCTTCTTTTTCTTCATTATGAGAGTTCAAACTCGGGCCTATAGCTCTTACCGGAAGAACAAAACAAGTGCCTTCAAAGAAATATGACCAGAAGGCACCAGAGCAAGTGTGCTGTTGTCTCACCGACTTTGGACGTGCTATCAGGAAAGTCCGGTCCCTGGGAAAGGACATCATGCTTGGTAGGGGCTCAGTGAAAAAGAGTAAGACCCTCAACAAGGTGGATTGCGTCAAGTCTGTCACAGTGGGTTCAGCTCGAACAACAATTGTGAGGACGTCCCAGGACTGGGCAGTGTGGCACGTAGGGTGACTATGAGTTGGAACGGATTTGATGGCACCTAACAACGACAACAAGAAACAGGATCCCTGGGTGGGACTGGTGGTGAAGAACTAGACTAACAAGCACGAGACTACGGTCGGTGGTTTGAAGACCCCAGCAGCACCCCAGGAGACAGACCAAGCAAATTTCTTCCCAGTGGTCACACCGTGAATGCTCTATGGAGCACCGTTCTACTCTGCATGCACGGGGTCCCCTGGAGTTGTATCAGTTTGACAGGGACTAACAATGGCAACAGCGCTTGCTCGTATGTTGTCACTTTTCTCTAGGCTACGTCACGATGTCTGGATCTCTGAACGTCCTTTCAGACTTTCTGCATGAGTCTTCTGGCTGACTGACAGAGTGACACAAGTAGGCATTATTCAGATCGGCTTGCAGCTGTCAGTTGAATGGAATTCATCAAGGCCACCCTTTCTGCGAGTTTCTAATTTGTGCTCACCGAAGCTTCTGTTTGTTCTGTCCTGTGGAATACAAGCCTCAGAATCAGGGCCACAACGCAGCAAGCCCACGTGACTGCAGTACCATCACGAGGGAGACAC